AATGCCGTGCATTGAATTTAAAGGAATGCGAACAAGAGACGTTATTACCTTTGACCCATCAAATGAATGGAATCATTTATTTTCAGAATCAAAGTTTAACATCAAACATTTACATTAATTTGGCAAAATATGAAAATAATAACAGACAGTTTCACAAATAATGAACTTCAAATCACTCGGCGGTGATTTGAGGACTTTGCTTCAGATATTTCTAAAATATCTGTACTGATTTTGTGAGAGAGAAGTGAGTTTAAGAGTAAATTGAGATTTATCTTACAGAGGAAATATGTGAGGGAAGTTTAATCTGTTTAACCAGAAATTGCACGCTCCGTCCGATCTCAGCTTCTCACGGTACACTTGGTCAAAATAGAACCATCTACCTGTTGATGATGAATCAGCGTCGGAGTAGTTCCTTTCTGACTCGTTTCAGCGTCTCCGTCGAGAACTACCAAACCTTCAGAGAGTCGTGCGTAGTTAGCTCAAAACAGAATTATAATCCCAAAAACCTCTGGATTCTTCATTGCTCTCTTGGACTCTTCATTGCTCTGAAACTTTCAGAACCGGCTGCACTCTCAATCTCAATCTAACATGAACTGGGAAGTTGCCACATTTTATTTGGGTCGACTTCCTGTTCAATTTAGAGCTTTCTGATTCGTGGAAGGACCAGAAAGAGGAGTGGTTTTGACGTAAGGTGTTTATCAACAGTCGAGGTCAGAGAATGAAATTTGTTTTCACATACAGAAAAGATTATTGCAGCAACAGCAGACTTCGTGGAGTCAACTCTTGGTAATCTTCTGAAAAAGTTTAAACATGACATTTTTCTCGGTAAACATTTTAGTTGACCGAAAACCAACCTTTCACATACTTACGACTTGACTCATTTCAGACAGAAAATCAAGGAATGCTTATTCAGGTGATTTCTTCTTGGAATGAGGAATAAAAATCATTACTTACTGTTTATGTAAAATAAAGATGAGTAGTTCTTTTCAACCTATAAGCATTGAGTGAACTAACACAATTTGATTATCAAAACATTTGTAAGACAGTAATGATTATAAAGAATTGTCTTTTCTGCTTGATTAATTCAAGAAAGAAAGTCATCAGATGGCCCAGACTTATTCAGATCAATGAAAATAACAGTCTCTGTCCATCTGGTAGATTTGAGGTCTTCAGGGTCAGACCTGGTTCACTACACTTGTCTACCAGGCAATGATTGATTTTGCTTTTTAAAACATTGATTTGAAAAGATGCACACAACTTTTAAAACTGTGTGACTGAGGGAGAAATCGGCAAAGAGGAGTGCAAAAAGAAACAAAAATGTGAATAATAACAGAAGTTAGACAGTAAAAGAAAACTTTGGCGCATTATCGTCTGGATATCAAAAGCAAATTTTGACACCCAATGTAGAAATATTTTTTCTGCTTTTTCAAAGTTCATGCAATTGCAAAAAAAACTTTTACAAAAACACCATGCTACACTGCTCACACGTGTTACTGGCTGACAAATGTAGTTGGATGCTATTGTACGTTCAATGCCACCTCAAAGGTTTTCTTGTCTTTTTCATACCAAGAGACACATCAAAAGTAAAAAAAAAAAGAAAACAGCAGACATGTCAAGATGAGAAATTTTGCTGCTCTGAAAATGCTCAAGAAGGCTCATAAAAATAGAAATATCTATAGACGTGGAGTTGGGAAATAATAATAATCAAATGGATCTTAATGTTTCGCTTTGACCGATGCTGTTCTTTAAAAGGAAAAATGTGATGTGGGAGAAACAACATGATCGATTACACTTACAGTACGACCTCTGAAGTGTACACACACGTATGAACTTAAAAACACTGAAAAAACTCCGACGCACATTCAAGTACGAGCTGTGGTCCCACTTCTAACCTCAAGTCAACAAACACACATGGAGCTGAGCAAAAAGTAAAAGACATGGTGCAAACAGAGGTCAGTGGTTATTATCCTTGGATAACGGTCCTGTGCTGTTATATTCTGAGGTTTGGACTGGATTTAGTTACGGACGAGACTCGGGCCACAAAAACATCTCTTTAATTGGACTAAAGTGAAATAAACTCCAGATGGCTTTAATAGATATTCACTTGAGGACACATTCCAATTTGTCGCTCTCCATTTTATCCAGCTTTCTGGCTCACCCACACATGTCTGTTTAGTTGTCTACTCTTTTTGAATTCTTTATTTGTAAAGGTTTTATGCTTTCTATAGTTAAATCAATTTCACATTCATTATCAGCCCCTCTCTAACCAATACCCCACTCATTTCAATATTTGAGTTTGTCCTACTTTATGTGTTCTGGAAAAATATTTTTAAAACTGAAACTTCAGAATATTTTGGGGGAAATCAAACAAAAGAGGTTTTAAACATTTGAATTTAACAAAACTGCAAATCTATTTACCATTAAGGCCAGGATCCAGTAACCCAATGCTTTCTCTCTTTGATTGCATCTCTGCAATCAAACATTGGCTAAACAAGAACTTCCCGTTTTAAAATGACACTAAAACAGAATGGATTTTATTTGGTGACAAAGATACAACTGGCCTGGGAAATTTGAACATTAACTTCAGTGACAGTGTGAGAAACCTTGGAGTGACCTTTGATAAGGCTTTACACTTTGACAAACATATCGCCTCTGTTGTCCGGTCTGGATTTTTTTTATTTACGCCTTTTAAAAAAGGTCAAACACTTTTTAAATCGTTGCGACTTGGAGACGGCTGTTCATGCTTTTATCAGTTCTAGGCTCGATTATTGTAGCGCTCTGTATGTTGGTGTATCTCAGTCATCAATGAGCCGCCTCCAGCTTGTTCAAAATGCAGCAGCTCGCCTTTTAACCAACACTCCTAGACGGGACCACATCACACCTGTTTTACTCTCACTACATTGGCTTCTCTGTCCGTTTTAGAATAGATTTTCAACTTTTATTATTTGTTTATAAAGATCTGAATGGCCTCACTCCTCCTTATATAACAGAGATGTTAAGTTTCCCCGCCCGCTCCAGGTCTCTGAAGTTCAGACAGCTCCTGCTCTCTGTTCCTAGGACAAAATATAAACGCTGGGGTGATTGTGCCTTTTCTGCGGCCGCACCTCGACTCTGGAATGAGCTCTCACTTGAGCTACATCAGAATACTGAACTTGACCCTTTTAAATCGAAGCTTAAGACTTTTTTTATTCCAACAGTCTTTTAGTACTTAAATATGTGTTGACATTTCTGGTTCTCTTTTTGTTATTGTGCTGTGTTTTTTTCTTGCTTTTAACTTGTTGTCATTTTAATTACTGTTTTTGTTAAGCACTTTGGTCACCATCACCATGGTTGTGTAAAGCGCTATAGAAATGAATAAATGAAATGAAAATGAAAACTGATATACATACATATTGTATATATATATATATATATATATATATAGTGCCTTGTGAAAGTATTCAGCCCCCTTGAACTTTTCAACCTTTTGCCACATTTCAGGCTTCAAACATAAAGATATAAAATTTTAATTTTTTGTGAAGAATCAACAACAAGTGGGACACAATCGTGAAGTGGAATGAAATTTATTGAATGTGTCAAACTTTTTTAACAAATAAAAAACTGAAAAGTGGGGCATGCAATATTATTCGGCCCCCTTGTGTTAATACTTTGTAGCGCCGCCTTTTGCTGCAGTTCCAGCTGCAAGTCTCTTGGGGTGTGTCTCTATCAGTTTTGCACATGGAGACACTGAAATTCTTGCCCATTCTTTCTTGCAAAACAGCTCGAGCTCAGTGAGGTTGGATGGAGAGCGTTTGTGAACAGCAGTCTTCAGCTCTTTCCACAGATTCTCGATTGGATTCAGGTCTGGACTTTGACTTGGCCATTCCAACACCTGGATACGTTTATTTGTGAACCATTCCATTGTAGATTTGGCTTTATGTTTTGGATCATTGTCTTGTTGGAAGATAAATCTCCGTCCCAGTCTCAGGTCTCTTGCAGACTCAAACAGGTTTTCTTCCAGAATGGTCCTGTATTTGGTCCCATCCATCTTCCCGTCAATTCTGACCATCTTCCCTGTCCCTGTTGACGAAAAGCAGGCCCAAACCATGATGCTGCCACCACCATGTTTGACATTGGGGATGGTGTGTTCAGGGTGATGAGCTATGTTGCTTTTACGCCAAACATATCGTTTTGCATTGTGGCCAAACAGTTCGATTTTGGTTTCATCTGACCAGAGCACCTTCTTCCACATGTTTGGTGTGTCTCCCAGGTGACTTGTGGCAAACTTTAAACAACACTTTTTATGGATATCTTTGAGAAATGGCTTTCTTCTTGTCACTCTTCCATAAAGGCCAGATTTGTGCAGTGTACGACTGATTGTTGTCCTATGGACAGACTCTCCCACCTCAGCTGTAGATCTCTGAAGTTCATCCAGAGTGATCATGGGCCTCTTGCTTGCTCAAGATGAGTTCAGTGATGGAGTTAATCTCAAAGCAGTCTGCTCCTCAGATAAAGTCTTAAATGATTATTTTTATATATGGATTTTCTGCTAACTTATTTTATATATGCATATTTATGTTCAGTGCCCTGAGATGACTTCTGTTGTGACTTGGCACTATATAAATAAATTGAATTGAAATTGAATTGAAAGCATTGCAATAAAAAGGTTGAATAACTATCAGACAATTTGGCAGTTTTCTAGAACCCTAAATCTTGATTTCCCAAGCATGAACTTGCACAAACGGATGATTTTTTTGAAATCAGGTAGCTCCAAGCATCACTGACAAAATTCCTTTTAGTCTAAAAGTCACAATTTATGTTTTAATCTGGACAAAAACATATGCACGTAGTATGAGGTTAGATTTTACATACTTCATAATGATGTAAGTAGCAAATTACGCTGAATCATGTGCATGAAATTTTAAACTTTCAGCCTGTTTTATTGTAAATTACTACTTTTTTCTTTTAATGTTTCGTATGTGTAATTGCTTCCTCTTGTATGTAATCCAAAAATGTCTTACCAGTAGGAAACATCCAAAGGGTTAAAAAAACGTCTGGAGATGAGGTCAGCAAAAAAGGACTCAGTTTCACGGCAAGCAGTCCCGTTGCCAATGACAACCTTGGTACAGCTAGTGGGACAAAATAAAAACAACAAAATCAGTAAGCATAAAAACAGCAACGTTCAAAAAATACATTTGACTGTTATTAGGTTTATTTTACTCTTTTATTGTTAATATATTTATTTCACTGAGTTAGGTCCCACTTATGCAAAACACAAGTCATTTTCTGTACTTATAACAGTAATCATTTTGTAGTAGTACCTGTATTTGATCATAAAGTGGCGCAATTTCTCTGCTTCTCTTTGCTGTCCTGAATTATGCAGGTACACAACATCAGCGTGAAGAATTTGACCTTGAAACAGAAAAACAGAACAAACACAATGATGATCATGAAGCATGATGATGAAATTTTCTGTCCACAATGAACACAACAGACTTTGTGTTAGTTACCTGTGGGGGAGAGGATGGCCAGTTTACAGCCGTGTCTGAACCCAGGATCCACTCCCATGATGACGCAACCCCTGACTGGACAGACCAACAAGCGCTGGCGGAGGTTCCGCACAAACATGGCAATCGACTCCTTTTCTGCAGCGCTTGTTAGCTTAGTCCTAATGAGAGGAAAACCAGAGATAATTAAAAATTAAGAATTAAAAAAAAAAAAAACGAGGAGAGGAGATAAAAAAATATATATACTAACTTTAAGCTCAACAACAAAAATAATTCAGAAGGTAAAATTTACAGTAGAAATATATGTATATGTTATAAATGTAGAAAATGGTTTCAAATTCCTTTATATAAGGGAAAGAATGAAAAACATAAGAAAATGAAAGAAACCGAACCAAAATAGACAAATTGATAAATTGTGAAAAGAACCAAACCTAAAGAAGAAAACATGCCAAAAATACCTGTAGTTCCTGGTGAGGAAAGGCAGAATAAGCCTTTTATACGAGTCTTTTACTGCATTTGTAATAATTGTCTGCAGTTCTTCTCTGGCAAATGTTTTTGGCCTCCACCTGCATTAAGATAAAGAAACAAAACAGGTATTTTCTTTGTTCTAGGAGTCATTTCGAACCATAAACGCAACTAATCAAAAAAAGGTTAATCAGTTCCCAAATTCCTCACTCAAATAAAAACAATGTTAGTCTGCGCACCCCACAGCCACTTTAAACTAATTATTTCTAATAAACTTCATTTCAAATTTCTACTTGTCAGATTTTAAAAAAAGTAACAGAACTGCTTAACTCAAAACGTTTTAATTTGTCACTTTCTCTATTAAAATTAAAAATGTAAATATATTCCAGATTAATCAATTAGCTCTTTCCTTTTCACTGCATCCAGTAATTTAAGATATATAACCACACAGAAACTATTATAAAAAAGAACACACACACACACACACACACACATATATATATATATATATACATATATATATATATA